AACCTGTAAGTACGATTGATACGTTATGTGTACCTTTTCAATGGAGTGCTGAAAATATCACATTTTTGTGCTAATATGTGATGTACACCTGATGCAGTTTTAGGTTTCCAGGTAAAGCGCGATATTACTGTCTTACTGAAGTAGTTCTGATAATTCGCTGTGAACTAGGGCTGCACGATTAATCGCATGCGATATTTAACGCGCATTTTGTCAGAAAGCCGGTTCTGTAATCAGCGGTAAATCTCCATCACCTGCGTGCTTTCACATTGAGCAGCATTAACGTGACTACACCATGTTATGTACGAGAAGCTGCAAAAGACACAGGCACAAGTGGAATGTACAGAACTAATATAAATATATTAAATATAAAGCCCAAAATATAATGGGCTAATAAAAAAAATTATTGAGGTCATGTACATATATTGCGCGATAAGTCGATATAGTGATTATTGCGACAGGCTTAGTAGTGCACAGACTTTATAATCATTGTGAAATTTCTGTTTATTTTGATGCACCGGCAGCTATAGGGTTAATGCGGGAGAGACGAGCGAGTATTGTGTATTGTTTCATCAGTTAGTCACGTTAGCACTCGGCTAACGTATCCACCATTATTGTTTTAAGTGTTCACAGTTTAGCAGCTAAACTTTAGCTGTGGGCATTCGCTTGCATAAGTGTTTTGTATTTTATGTCATTATTATAAGAACGGATTGGAGCACTATATTATTGTTTTATGCAAAGGTGCTTTGTCAATGGTAGCGCTCACTAACTTGCTCAAGGACTCCTCTCTGTGCCAATCACAGCAGGCTTGGCCAGCTGACCAATCAGAGCAGAGTAGGCTTATGGAAGGGAGGGGTTTACTCCGAATTTGCTTGGAATAAACTGTTTAGAAATCATTGGCAAATGACTCCAATATTAAATGTATATTCTGAGAAAATTACAATGTTTTCTGACCTTGCATTTGATGCATTTAAACCTGTTGTAGGGGACTCCAACACAACATTAAGACACTTTAAAATACCATATGACCTGCTCTTTAAAGTGTGGGGAGACCTTTATCCTGAAGCTTTCTGGCTGAGATGGGATTGTTTCAGTCTGTCTGTGTGTGAGAAAAGGGTTGGTGGGTGTGGTGAGATTGTAAACTCCATCTGCTCAGTTGTTTCATAACTGCACCCACTCTTTGGTACGTTAACATAATTGTGTTTTTTGATTAATGCCTAAATGTCAGGTGTGATCAGAGGCAGTGCTACTGAAAGATCTTCAGCACATGACTTTGTGTGAATTGCATTCAAATCATCTGCCATGTCATTGGCATTAGAGGCTCAGAAGATCAAACCCAACCTGATTGGACTAGTTACATCATGTTACACCGCTTACTGGCCGTACAAATCATCCGACAGTCAGCGTAAATGCAGCACCTCTCCCTTTTTTCGGGATTCCGTAATGTTTGCATCACATGGCATCATGGGAGGCCTCAGGTGTGTGAATTACCTAGGACTGTCCCACTCTTCTACAATTCTGGTTCCTTTCCATCAGCTTTTATGTAACCTCAGAGTGTTTGGATTAATGATGTGATGGTGTTTGTAGGTTTGGACTGGATGCAACTCCTGTAACTTACCTTCATCTTTCGAAGCCAAAAATGGAGATCTCATTTAGCTATCAGGCTACAGTTTGCATTGAACACCTTATCAGCAGTTTAACATCTTTTTCATGTCAGTTTCAAGCACATGGAGTTTCACGTTTGTCCCCAATATGGCCCCATAAAGAGTCAGCTGTTGGATAGACGCTTGTTTTTTTTTTGGTGAGCTCTTGCATAACACACAGCAGAACCACATTGTTTATGTTGTTCATTGGCAGAAGATGGGCTTGGACTTGCTCCCCATTTGAATGTTTTTCTCATTTGATCTACATGTGATCATGGGCTACTGACTGTTTGCACGCTTTGACTGAATGTCTAATTTGCTGATTAAGTTGTGCGTAGACCTGACTTCATGACATGAGTTTCTTTGCTATCAGCTGGGATGAAGATTATCCTGTGTTTGCATTTTAAATAGTGTATCTCAGAAACCAGCAGAACAAGTCCTTGAGTTTCTGTTCAGACAACGATGGGTTGTGGTTTCAGTTTCAAAACTGATTTTTTTTGCTAGTTGAACACAAATTAAGATATTTTGCAGAATGTCCAGAGTACTCTTATTAATAAATTAAAAAAAAAGCCTCAAAGTATTCCATATGACCTGTCCAATATATTCAAAGTCTAAACCGATTATATTCCCAATCTATTACTCCCTGAGAATCTCTATTAGAGCCAAAATCTTGTTCACCCTTGCAGTCAGTTAAAATTTAGTAGGCACTATAAAATTAGTTATATTTTTTTCTCCAAATTCTGTGTTTTCAGATTAACTTTTTTTCTGGGTTACACGTTAATGGTTTAATTCATTTTTAATAATAAAAAAAGGATAATCAACTAGGGATGTAATGATTCACTCAACTTGCGATTCGATTCGATTCATGGTTTTGATTTCACGATTTGATTCGATTCACCTTTCTTTTCTTTTTTTTTTACAAAATGAGGTTTAAGATGAATTATACATTAAATGTGTCCTTTTGTTATTGCTTGGACAAAATGCTGCACGTTTCTTTGTGAAATTGAAATATAACACTATAATATACTAATATAGCACTTGCATATTTTTGCTCTTTTGTTGGTTTTGATTGCTTCTATTGTCCTCATTTGTAAGTCGCGTTGGATAAAAGCGTCTGCTAAATAACAAAATTTAAATATAATGTAAAATGTAAATAACAAAACTAAATTGAAATTTTAAAACAAGCACCAAATCAAATAAATAAGTAACACAAATAAAAGACATATCTTCATATAAACAAAATAAGGCTTTGTCTGTGCTCTTTCCATTTAAAAAACAACCACTGCATTTTAATCATGATCCAAACAAAGATGCTGCAGTGTTTCCCCTGCCATTATATTAGGGGGGCGGCCCGCCCCCCCTTGAAGGTCAAGTTAATTTTATTTAATTATATTTTCTCTATAGCGCCAGATCACAACAGAAGTCATTTAAACTTACCTTTCTTATAGAACAGGTATATACCTTGTTCTTTTATTAAGCAAACTAAATAGCCTTATGTTATTTATCTTATTTACACGAAGGCATGTCATTTCAGTCTCTACGTTATTGTCGCACTCTCTGCATCACGCACAGCGGGCGCGCACACACACACACACACACACAAGTGAGCACACTCCCACTAGTATTTGTAAATATTAAGCCGCAAAACTATTCATATTTAAATATGAATTCTGCATGTCTCTGTGTTAATTAATGGTGCAGACGCGCGGTTTTGTGTAGTACTCGTACTGAAACGCTCGTGACGCTTCCGGTGATATTAACATGTGCCGTCTCATTAATGAGGACATGAATACATGAACAACATCTCCAGAACTGCTCTGAGAGTCACTTCATGAGCATTTGACCATTTCATTTGAGTAAAACTATCATCATGTCATACACGCACAGAAATGTAAAGGTATTCACGGCAACCCGTCAAAATAAAAGTTCGTTTTAACTTGAGGGCATTGGCAGAACTATATTACTATTGTTGAGTAGAATGTACGTAACAGGCTGCTACTACTACTAAAATTATTAAAACCTTATTTTTAAGGAATAAGCATTCAATATTTCTTCAGTGTTTTAATTGTAATATTAAATGACCTTTATTTTCCAAAAAATAAAATTTATTTTATTTTCATTACTTAAAAGATAGATTAAATTAATGTTTTATGCCTTAAAACAAAATGTAAATACACAGCACAGAATTTCTGAGCAAAAAAATCATAAGGCTATTGTAAGAATAAATGAAACTTGTTTTATGCTTTCAAATAATTAGACATGCTAAAACAGAATTTGGTTACAATAAAACATAAGGTTGGAAAAATAAAACATTTCATAGGGCCCTAAACATGTAATATTTGTTAAACTTTTAATAAATTGATGATTTAATTAAATAGACATGCTTTTTGATTAATAAAATGTAATTTAACCATTAAACAGGAGTCCAGAAAAAAAATTAAAAAACTTATTTTTTTTATGCTGCAGTGTTTCCCCCCCAAAGCCGTAAACCTAGGGACAAGTTGAATGAGACGCAGATTCACTCTCTGCCAGCAGGCAGCGCTTAAAGCTTTTCCTTGGTTTCGGCTGTAAACAAAGCAGCATGAACTTTTAATATGCATTATACAGAGGCAAGATGAAAATAAAAAATACCATCTAAACTTTTCTAAAGACCGTAAGTTCCCCTCAGACATACATTCATATAAACTCTTACCCCTAATTGAATCGCGATTTGTTTAGCATCTCAACCGATTTGAATCGTCACATATTTGTATCGATTTTCAACCGGCTCGCGGTTAATAGTTACATCCCTATAATCAACTGTTCATGATTTTTCTGGTTTCCGTGTTTTATGATTTAATGCAACTTTATTACCAAAACGGTGGTAATCAAATGAATGCATAAAACTTAATTTAATTAATCTTTTAAAATGTAATCAAATGAAATCTGAAGAATTCTTTTCAATTTTTCTGGCAAACTAAGTGCTGCATGACAGGTTTACAATTTAGATTAAAACATGACAAAGCGATGACATACACTGAAATTATTTAGACATTTAGGGCATTTTTTTTTTTGACATTTTTCAAAAATATATAATCTCAGCTAAATGTTTGATCATGCAGTGCATTTTTGTTTTTTACAATGGGGAAATTGCTGCACAATAGTTTACACGCAGCGCAAGCCTGATTTTTTTTTAGCTGTATGTGAGGCGGTATGTGTGTGCACTTTGAGTGTGCATGAGTGCACTGTCTCTAGGAGAGCGCGCGAGTGCTGAATGGTTTAAACACTGGCAATACTTAAAGAAAGGCAAATTATAAACTTTAGTGACAATGCAACGCTTCCTCGATTGTGCAAGTGACAATTCCTGTGTCAACTGTGCAATGTGCAGCTCGCTTATAGTGCAGATGAGATGTGGTGATTTGAAGCCATTTGCGCATTTTGAGAGGTAGAGAGAGAGAGCATGCAGTGATTCACTCACGCTGTTTGTGAAATTACATCTCAAAGAAAGTTTTCAAATTACTTTATATTTAATAATGAAATATGAATTGTACCTCACCTTCAGCATTATTATTTATTTTACCCGCGGTCAGAGATTGAGATGGTGCTGCTGCATGTCATGCCAAACCTCTCACAGCAGGTGCTTCGTCAGCTTGAGATCGCTTTATGAGATCGGCCTTTATAGAGACCGCCGATCAAACTTCCCAAAGCGATTATCAGCCGATAGCGATTGGTAGCTAGCCGATCAATCGGAGCACCCCTAGAAAGCTCCATGAGTACATGTAGTAGACAAAACTGCCGTTCATTCACACAAAGACACACAGAACAAGCATACTTCAAATTTCAGTAGCAGTCTTCTTGCGGTTTAATATTTACATAAACTAGTCCATATTGTGTTTTGATTAATTGTACAGCCGTTTTTAATTTATTCATCCATATTTTGCTAAATTCTGAGTCTGACATTCCCTGGTAAATTCCATTTTATTACTGAATTCGCCATTTCTGTCCGTGTTTTCCGCATTGCGAAAATCATAAGGCCCTAATAGCCAAGATGTTTTGCACCAATCCTTTAAGATAAGGATAAGATAACTCTAGACATTCTTAAACTTCATTTGCATTGACTGCCATGGAGGGTTTGGAACTACTTAAGGCCTGTTCACACCAAGTATGTGAACTATAAAGATAACGATAAAGTTATATGTCTAAAAATCATTCTCAATATTATAGAGTCCACACCACAGCTATGGTGATAAAGGCACAGAGAAACAATACCGTTGGAATCACTTTCAGAACAAGTTTTTCCAGCTGATGAATGATTAAAGGGTCATAATTCGCAAGGGTTAAAATATGATGCTGCTAAAAAGAACATTATTTTGTGTATTTGGTGTAATGAAATGTGTTTATGCGGTTTAAGGTTCAAAAAACACATTATTTTCCACATACTGTACATTATTGTTTCTCCTCTATGCCCCGCCTTTCTGAAACGCGTAAATTTTTACAAAGCTCATCGGTCTGAAAAAGCGAGGTGTGCTGTGATTGGCCAGCTATCCAGAGCATTGTGATTGGCCCGAATACCTCAAGCACGTGACGAAAATGTTACGCCCCTACCACATTGTGATGATGCCCTGTCAGGCTGGAGCGATGATTCAAAAACATGAAAACCCATTATAAACGAGGCATTCGCTGCATCCAGTGGGGACATAAGGAAAAATTTAAATCGCATCATATGACCCCTTTAAAACATTGACAGCCAATCAAAATCAATCCTGCTATAAGGACCTCGAGAATTTAAAGCGGCAAATGAGCGTGCGCTTAGAATAAACAAGACGTTATCATCCGCTGATGTGAACACTAATATCGTTATCGTTCTTGGTGTGAACGGGCCATTAAGGTCGATTGAATAATGACTGAATTTGCTAAAAGAAATTAATACTTTTATTCAGTAGGGACGCATTAAACCGATCAAACTTTTGAACAGTATTCTATGCACAAACTATAAAGGTAAATCAATTATGATCTACAGTCATGTCAGCTTGTTGGAGATTCAGGCTGTGTTCTGACCCCATTCATGGTTTTAATGGCTCTGTTCCTTCTCTGTTTCTCGCTCTGCCTCAGGCACAGACATTTCAGTTGGAGAGGAAGTGGCCATCAAACTGGAATGTGTGAAGACAAAGCACCCACAGCTCCACATCGAGAGCAAGATTTACAAGATGATGCAGGGTGGAGGTAATAAGAAAGGGGTTTTGATTGATATGTAAATAAGGTGTTGAGGGGCTCAATAAATCAATGTAATCAATGAAATGATTCATACTTGCCAACAAGCATCTATTGGGTTTCAGGCTGTGTATTTAGGTGTTTTGTGTGCTGCTTTTGCAGTTGGCATTCCTACTATAAAGTGGTGTGGTGCAGAAGGAGATTATAACGTGATGGTGATGGAGTTGCTCGGCCCCAGTCTGGAGGATCTCTTCAATTTCTGCTCCAGGAAGTTCAGCCTGAAGACTGTCCTGCTTTTGGCTGATCAGATGGTATGATACAAAATCATGTTGGCAATAAAAAAAAAGTAGTTTTCTGCAGAAATATAACTTATTTTAAAATGTTTTTTGTAAACCTTGCATTCATTAGATTAGCCGCATCGAGTACATCCACTCCAAGAACTTCATTCACAGAGACGTGAAGCCTGATAACTTTCTGATGGGCTTGGGAAAGAAAGGCAACCTGGTCTACATCATTGACTTTGGCCTGGCCAAGAAATACCGTGATGCACGAACACACCAGCACATACCCTATCGCGAGAATAAGAACCTGACGGGCACTGCGCGTTACGCATCTATCAACACACATCTTGGCATTGGTAAAAACACACATTCTTTCCAGTTAGCTTGTAAATTTGACTGTGGCATGTATATTTGTATGTGTGTATATACGTGTGTGTGTGTGTGTGTGTGTGTGTGTGTGTGTGTGTGAGAGACCCAGATTTCTTGCCATAGAAATCTAGCTGCACGATAATGGTAAAACTGATCGTAATGATTATTTTGCTCAATTTGTAATCACGGTTATTGTTTTTACATTTAAGTAATATTATTGAACTTTCACATAAGCAGGTGAACATCAACTCATATGCATGGTATAATTTACCTCATCTTGTTTCCTGATTTATTATATCTAGCCTAACTTATAAATTAACACTTTCTCTACGCTATAAAACCTGGTAAAACAAGAAGCTTTTCTCAAAAGCTAAACCTGTGAAATTCCTAATATTAACTCCAACAATTCCAACTTAAGTTAATGATTATGTGTGTGTGTGTGTGTGTGTGTGTGAGAGACCCAAATTTCTTGCCATAGAAATCTAGCTGAACGATAATGGTAAAACTGATCGTAATGATTATTTTGCTCAGTTTGTAATCACGGTTATTGTTTTTACATTTAAGTAATATTATTGAACTTTCACATAAGCAGGTGAACATCAACTCATATGCATGGTATAATTTACCTCATCTTGTTTCCTGATTTATTATATCTAGCCTAACTTATAAATTAACACTTTCTCTACGCTATAAAACCTGGTAAAACAAGAAGCTTTTCTCAAAAGCTAAACCTGTGAAATTCCTAATATTAACTCCAACAATTCCAACTTAAGTTAATGATTAGATTTTATTTTGTTTTTATCTAATTTATATTAGATGGTTTGGTAGATTTAGTTGCAGCAAACAGCACAAATGGAACACAGACCGGTTGTATTACACTTTCATTTCGGCAGAATATCTCAATGGAGATCACTAAACTCCTACATGCATGTTTTCCGGTGTTTTTTAGATCATTAGTGTGTTTTTTTTCTTCAAAGAGAGTGCATGCATCAAGTATTACACTGGACAGAAAATTTTAATTTAAACAAAAAGCATGAAAGCAGTTGGAGGCTTGTTACCAATGTAAGAATGCAAATGTCAAATGGACAAAAAAAAAATACTTTCAGGATAAATAACAAGTGGCTAAATATCACAGATAATTATCTTTAATTAATCAAGAGAAGCATTACTCACGATCACATAAAATACGATAATCATCCAGCCCTAGCTCTGGCTGTGGTAACTGATCATTTGACGACATTTCCAGATTAATTTTTCTTCCCTATTTCTCTGCTGGCTCTGTATGACATCACTGTGTGCTCATGCTCAAGTGGATGCATGTATATTTTTAGCATTTCCCAGAAGAGATTTGATTTGTGTACGTTTGCAGCAATGTGAATGCTTATTCATGAATCATGCAGTAGTAGTCATCCTTTCATGCTTTATACAAGCGCCTATAATTCTGTGTGCGTATCTCTACAGAGCAGTCTCGGCGGGATGACCTGGAGTCTCTCGGTTATGTACTGATGTACTTCAACTTGGGCTCGCTCCCTTGGCAGGGGCTGAAAGCCGCCACCAAGAGACAGAAGTATGAGCGTATCAGTGAAAAGAAGATGTCCACCCCCATTGAAGTTCTCTGCAAGGGCTACCCATGTATGTTCAAAGGCTTGTGTAATTTCTAACATTTTCTGAATGTTAATCAGACTTTGTCTTTGAAATGATGCCTAAAATCCTGGATTGTAATATGGCTGCTTGTTTTCTGTCCCACAGCTGAATTTGCTACGTACCTCAACTTTTGCCGATCACTGCGATTTGATGACAAGCCAGACTACTCCTACTTGAGACAACTCTTCAGGAATCTGTTCCACAGACAGGGCTTCTCCTATGACTACGTGTTTGATTGGAACATGCTCAAATTTGTAAGTACATGTTGATCGCCCTTGATATAATGTTTCATATCATTCGGTATCGATAATTATTGAACATTTTTTACAACCTTTCTTAAAGAGCAGTAGAAAAAGGGATACATTTAACCACTGTATTTTTAATTTACCCAATTTATTAAAACACACAACTTATTTTAGTTTTAACAGTCAAACACAAAATAAAATTGAAGCAAATATTTCATATGCAGATTAAGGAAACATTTGGCATGTCTCCTGAGGCCACTGGAGGGCACAATGAGAAAAATAATGCACCTCGTTAAATTGTCTATTCAATGCTTTGAAATAACAGCTGTCTATAAAAAAGTGCATACCGTCTAAACTAATATTTGTTAATCAAATATAATTTCGTAAATTGCATAAACAATTATGAACAAAACAGCATCATGTATAGCTTAATACAAATAGCCAAAAAAAATTATGAACAAAACGGCATCATGTATTTAGATATAGCTTAATACAAATAGCTAAAGCGCCGATCACACGATTGCATTTAAAAACATATGAGACGCAGTGGAATGGAATAAAACCCCCACAAATTCTCGAGACACGTTTTCTAAAAGTTGAACCTCTTTTAACTTTACATGGCTTTCTATTCATGTTTTGTGTGATATGCGAGTGCAACTGTCTTAGTTGTACGTCTCAAAAATGCTCTGAATATGTGTTCTGTGTGAATGGCTTGGTTTCGGTTTTAACCCAACCAATATCTTCTCCGCATTGACCTTCTATATTTCTCTAATATTTTAAATGAAAAATGCAGCAGTGGCACAATCTTGTGGGTTCCACTGGATAGTCTAACAAAAACATTAAAATGCAACGACACTTACATCATCATCATCATCGCATCTCGTGCTCCACTGATAAGGCTCCCGGACGCACACCTAAAATTCAAATACACAGTTTTTGCATTCGAATGCGAATTTTTATTTTAAATTCGACTAATATTCCTTTGTTTTTTTTTCTTTCTTTTTCATAGTCTCCTCATCGCAGGCAGGCACGGCACTCATTTCAGCATGTGTTTGTGTGTTCTGTTGCCTGTCTGCTTGTCACTCATAACACGAGCCTTTAAATTAAAAAAACCATGAAACTATCGTGCGCTATATCGAACATTTTTTCAATCGTTATCGATGATGGTGTATCTTCGATAAATACCGATAACGTTATATCGCCCAGATCTAAACTGCAGTAATCGTGGCTTTCAATTATTCTTAATTGCCATCTACACAAGATGGCCATCTACATGTGATTTTTCTATTTAAATGTATTTTAAAATGTAACATTACTGTGATGAAAAAGCTGAATTTTTCAGCAACCATTACTCTGAAGTGTTCAGTGTCAGTATTCAGGGTCACGCGATCCTTCATAAATAATTCTGTAGAAAGTGTCCCCCCTTCGATACATGGACTCTTCCAGTCACCCCTGTCATCCAGCTCGAAAGACCAAAATCTTGTGAATCTGCTGCTTGTCACTCATAACACGAGCCTTTAAATTAAAAAAAACATGAAACTATCGTGCGCTATATCGAACATTTTTTCAATCGTTATCGATGATGGTGTGTCTTCGATAAATACCGATAACGTTATATCGCCCAGATCTAAACTGCAGTAATCGTGGCTTTCAATTATTCTTAATTGCCATCTACACAAGATGGCCATCTACATGTGATTTTTCTATTTAAATGTATTTTAAAATGTAACATTACTGTGATGAAAAAGCTGAATTTTTCAGCAACCATTACTCTGAAGTGTTCAGTGTCAGTATTCAGGGTCACGCGATCCTTCATAAATAATTCTGTAGAAAGTGTCCCCCCTTCGATACATGGACTCTTCCAGTCACCCCTGTCATCCAGCTCGAAAGACCAAAATCTTGTGAATCTGCACTCTATTGCTAGTCCAGGTTTGAGTGAGACATCATTGTTCTGCCCGGACAAACTGTAGCCTTCACCCAAACCCGGACTAGCAATAGAGTGCAGATTCACAAGATTTTTCACATTCTAATATGCTGTTTCGCTGCTGAAGTAATTTTGCTTATCAGTGTTGAAAACAATATTTTAAGCATAACTTTTTTGTGTGTGGTGCGATTTTTATTTTATTTATTTATTTTTTTTTTTCTCCAAGTTTCTTTGAATAAATACTTTTATTTCAAATAAATGCTGTACATTTATGAACATCTTTACTGTCATTTTTGATAAATTTCATGCATCCTTGCTGAATAAAATATTTCTTTAAAACAAATCTTGCTGACCCTAAACTTTTGAATGTTCGTGTACTTCACTGCTGATATATATTTTTTCCTGTATTTGTTAGGTATGTAGAGGGTTTTTTTTTTTGTTGAATGGAATATGTACTAGAGCAGTGGTTTTCAAACCTCTCCATGAAGTACCCCCAGCACTGCACATTTTGTATGTCTCCCTATATCTGACACACCCACTTCAGGTCTTGCAGTCTCCACTAAAGAGCTGATGAGTTGAATCGGGTGTGATAGATGAGGGAGACATACAAAATGTGCAGGGCTGGGGGTACTCCAGGACAGGTTTGAGAACCACTGTACTAGAGTATTGGAATCAATTGTGTTAAGTCTCCTGTGCACTTCATGTAGCACTATTTGCTTCTGTGTCTTATAATGTTGCATTTACCCTCTCTCAGGGCGCCAACCGTACAGCAGAGGAGGCAGAACGTGAGAGGAGAGAGCGAGATGAGCGGATGAGGCACAGCAGGAATCCTGCAGCTCGTGGGATCCCAGCAGCCTCAGGCAGACCCCGCCCCACACAGGACGGAGCTCCTCCCACCCCCCTCACACCCACCTCTCACACAGGTAAACAGTCTTTCACTTGCCTCTGCCACTTCCCAAGTACTTGAAACACTGTAAGGAGTCATCTCATCTCACAGCGAACACATCCTCACCGAGACCGGTCACTGGCATGGAGCGCGAACGTAAGGTCAGCATGCGGCTTCATCGTGGCGCCCCAGTGAACGTGTCGTCCTCGGACCTGACGGGGCGTCAAGACACTTCCCGCATGTCCACATCACAGGTATAAGGCAGACCCTGCTCATCCAAGCCTTCAGCAGAGCAATAATAAACCCTATTACAAAAGTAGCCAGTCGGTATCTGAATGATCTGTTTTGATGTTTACTTACTGATAAAAGAGATTTTACTCTGGCAGAAAAAACAGTTTAGTGCCTCTGGCTTTGAATGGTTACACTGGGAATTCTTATTTCTACACATAAAAATTGTTCACAAAAATAAATACCTGATGAAATGTTAGTACATCTTTTATTGTTTGCAGTAATTGACCTTTTGATTCTCATTATCTCTATTAGAGTTTCTGTCTGGTGACATTTGAGCTTAAAATTGAATCTGCTTATTAGGTCGTTGAAAAGCCTTTTCTAGGAAGCTGTTGACCTAACGTTTGTGTTTCTGGGAAAAGATATTTCAGCAGCATATATTCTTTCAATATGATGGACAGTAGGCACGGTATGATTATGGGTTGGTGTGAGTAGTGTGTTGTGGGGGTGGAAGGCTGTAATGTTCTCTCTCTCTCACCCCAGAATAGCATTCCCTTCGAACACCACGGCAAGTAGTTGATCGTCACATCCTTGTGTGAAGGCAGATGCACCAGGTGAGTTTGATTAGCTTGTGTTAACTGTACACTGCTTTGTGTTTTCTACCAACTGGATGAAGCTTATGTAAATGTCATACACTTTTAAAAATAAAGGTTCCAGTCTTCAGTGTCGCATCCTTCAGAAATCTTTGTAATATGCTGATTTGGTGCTTAAGAAAAAGTTATTATTTTAAATGTTGAAAGCAGTCAAAACTGTGATGCATATTTTTTTTTCAAAGTAGTGTTAATTTAGTCTTAGTCCTGTGTCAAATATACTTTTTAATTGTCATATTTAGTCAACCTTGTCTTTGCTTTTGTTTAGTCAAGTTTTAGTTGACTATATGTCAGAGCATTTTAGTCTAATTTCAGTCAATGACACTAAAAGCACATTTTCATCATGCTGTATAATGGTTAAAATTATTTTAAAAAAAAAAAATTCTCAATTATAATCACAGTGATTGTTTTCATTTGAGATGTGTTTTTACATTTCGTTAAAAGTATTGCACTTTTCACCAATAAGCACAAATCAATAGTATGTCAACTCATATGCAGGTATCTATTATATAAATTAATATCAAAGACTTAGATATAAATTTTCTGTCTACATTATGAATACAGGTAAGACAAACAAAAAATATTATAAAACACTTTCATTTAGGCAGAATATCTCGCATGAAAGATAGCTAAACTCCGAGCGCACGCGTGTGGTTGCCAAATTGCAAAAATTAAATAAAGCACCGGGTAGAAAATGTATCCTTTTATCAGAGAAGCTCTGATCTGGGGATTTGAACTCTTAAAGGGGTCCTATTATGTTTTTTCACTTTTTTAACTTAAGTTAGTCTGTAATGTTGCTGTTTGAGCATAAAAAAAATCTGCAAAGTTACAAAGTTCAAAGTCCACTTGAAAAGGAGATTTTATTTAGCAGAAATCACTTTTCAAAAACTACAACGAACGACTCGTTTGGACTACAACGCATATTTTCCGGGATTTGTGATATCACAAATATCGACGAATGGGATGAGACTAGGGGTGTGCGATATTGACAAAAAATAATATCTCTATATTTTCTGGGATTTTATCGATGACGATAATTAGACGATATTTTGCTGAGTGTGTTATTGTGCTGGTATCTTAAGGACTGCCGAAGACAGCTGACTCCTAATGTTTTTAATATTCTTCATATTCTGTGTGGTGGTCAGTTCATACTGATAGAAATTAATCTTCTTTTTTTTTTTGACAAAAATAAAACGATTTTGGTAAAGTTTTTAATTTTTAAATACATTTTAGTCTTGTCTTTTTTCGTCAATGATGCTGTCACTTAATCAAATTAATGTGTCCTTGCTAAATGAGTGTTTTTCAAAAAAAATCTAAAAATCTTACTGAGGCGGTATATCGGGTTTGTACGATATATCGATATATTTTTTCATAAACAATATGATATACAGTCGTTTGATACGAGCTCATCTGAAAAACAGCAGATGCTCTGACGGATACATGTGCTGACAGATACTTGCGCCGTTTAATGCATTTGAGATGTGGTGTTTTCCTCAGTGCATTTCACAGGTATATCCTTCATCTGTAAATGTTAGAAAGCCATGGAAATATTCCATTTTGTTGTCAGGAGTGGATGAGCCTTCTGCATTCTCCTCTAAACTTCCTCTATTCTTCAGTGAACGAGCACTACCACGTGCATGTGAGCTAAACAGATGCAGCACAATAAAATAGGAGTGCAATAATTCTGACTAAAATGTACGTTTTACTAAAATATTTGTAGTTTGACAATAAATGTGCCACGTGTAGAATCCCATATACACACATGTTTGATTACTAATATTAAAACTATTTTATATAATTTTCTTCCTAATTTTTTGGCTTAAAATATGATCCATTTTTGTGAGATTCATCTTGCTGATATTAAATGCATCGTTCATGATTAACCTTTTAAAAAGACTCGTTTGGTTTGTGGCAATTGTTTATTGGGTGTCTCTGTATCTTGTTGCTGTTTACAGATTGTCTCCATGTCCCAGAAGCCTCCACTTTGCAATATGGAGCAGGATGGGCAACCTAACTACACATGGCTGATTGACAGCTCTCCACCATCAGCTAATAGATCGGGCATCAGTGTCTCTCTTCTATTGTCCAAACCAAAATGGTGTAGAACCAACCTGACCTCTTTGCTTACAGGCTCACTCTCCTCTTCTTCTCTCTCATGTTCTCATATTTTCTCTCCTACACTTTTTAAATGTTCTCGTGGACATGAGAGCTACAGCCTGGTGCGAATTCACACCATTTGGTTGACCAATCAGAGACCGGATCAGCCAGCCACACCATTGTCAGCTCCTGCGTCCTTCCTTCACAGTTCCACTCTTACACATTCAGTGCTGCACAACTTTCTCTGGTTCAGGCTCCTCGTGATTGAGGCTAATGTATCGTCTGTGTGGTTTAAATGGGTCTTTTTGTTTCTGTGTACTGAAATTTCTTTTGTATTTTAACCTGGGCAACAGATGAGTCCGTCTGGTGGCCTTATGGGTTCACTTTAAAATTTTCTATTTACTCAGTGTATTTATTTTTTAATATACATTTTAATAGCCCTCTGTAGCTGGTGAGGTTCCTTTCCCGCAGTGAAGCTGGTGGTATAGAGTGGACGGACCACAAAGGGGCCAGAATCCCAGCATACATCACTCATGGCAAACTGACTCCACAGTGTGGTTTTCACTCATACATGTCCTCACAGCGGGACCCTGTGAACTTCACCTGTTTGTCTGCTATATTGATCTCTTTAACTGTACAATACTGCCTCCCTCATTATTGTGTCTTCTGTTTCTAAGCTGTGAAATAACTGTAAAATAATCGTGTAAATGTTTCCATGCGATTCTTCAGAAAGACTATGAAATGACCGCAGATGGTTTGAGTCTGAAAGTTATCACCAGTTATTTTTATCAACTCTTTCATGAAACCACAACAATGAAGTGCCAGACTTTGGGGGTTTCATGCATTCTGAGCATGAACTTTGACTCTTGAGGATGTTGTTTTGACTCATGAATGGAGATCATGCTTGGAAATGCTTTGTCTCTTTTGAAAAGGTTGGTTATAGTTTGCTGCAATTTTTTTTTTCTGATGGTTCAGATGGTGTTTTGGAAGTGAAAAATCATTTGTTAAGAGATATTGCTCGTGTCTGCAAAGGTTGAAAGAATGAAAACTAATCAAAGTCTTGCTCTAATGTTTAGTGATTTTTCCCCTTTTACGAAATATTCCGGCACTGATGTGGCTTTTCTAATGCATCTTGAAAGCTGGTCTGGTCATCTTGTTCCCCTGTCATCTGTAAGGGGACATTGGCGACTTCCTGGGTGAAATTTTTCATCTAATTCTCCCCTATTTTGAAGCCCATGGCTATTTTGGGCTCCACATACTTTTGTGGAAGTCATGCCAATTTGTCAGTCCTGTAAGAATTTGTATTACCACCATATTTGTGTATTTTAAACAGTGTAAATAAATGAAGTACTTGTATTTGCTTGTGGTTGCATCTTTTTCTTTTAAATATTACATTTGTCAATTATTATTGGGGCAAGTTGCTTTGTTCTGCTTTCATTTGCAAATGTGATTTTATATGAATTTTTTAATTCTGTGCATACGTGCATAGAGTAAAGACAATTAAATGTAGTTGGTTTTGCTTAGCCACATTAAGGTTTTTTTTTTTTTTAAACTTGTCCTGTTTTCTAGAAAGCACTGGGCTGTGCAGTTCATGCCAGTATCACAGTTACTGCCATTGATACCTCGGGCAGTATAGAAACCCACTATTTTTGTGTCTGAATTTCTCATGATTCGTCTTTATTTCCTCTGCTTCACCCATTATCCTACAGCCTTTTGTCTTTCTATTTTTCGTGCTCTTCTCTTCGCATGCATCTGTAATCTATTTTTTGTCTTGTATGCATCTAATTGCACTGACACATCCAAAATTGCTTTGACTGTCAGCATAGAAAACAATATACAATATCTTGCTCTGCTTATTTGAGTCTGAAAAAAAAAGTCAAGTACTTTAGCCACTCTACATTAACTATGCAATAGCTAATTTGTTTCAGCTTACTTTAGCTTAACATTATGTTCACTTGATTGTTAAAGCAAATTTAGATCTGAACTTTACAGAAGGGTAGATGTTCAGGAATGATTACCATGCTAGTTTAGGTGCATTTACAGATGGAAAACTTGTCCTGTTTTCTAGAAAGCACTGGGCTGTGCAGTTCATGCCAGTATCACAGTTACTGCCATTGATACCTCGGGCAGTATAGAAACCCACTATTTTTGTGTCTGAATTTCTCATGATTCGTCTTTATTTCCTCTGCTTCACCCATTATCCTACAGCCTTTTGTCTTTCTATTTTTCGTGCTCTTCTCTTCGCATGCATCTGTAATCTATTTTTTGTCTTGTATGCATCTAATTGCACTGACACATCCAAAATTGCTTTGACTGTCAGCATAGAAAACAATATACAATATCTTGCTCTGCTTATTTGAGTCTGAAAAAAAAAGTCAAGTACTTTAGCCACTCTACATTAACTATGCAATAGCTAATTTGTTTCAGCTTACTTTAGCTTAACATTATGTTCACTTGATTGTTAAAGCAAATTTAGATCTGAACTTTACAGAAGGGTAGATGTTCAGGAATGATTACCATGCTAGTTTAGGTGCATTTACAGATGGACACCATCTGGCTTGAGAATACTGCACAAATCCTGTGCTAATTGGATCTGGTGGGAGTAAACAGTGTGGTCATTTAGAGTTTTCACTGCCTTACCTTTTTATTACTAGCAACCATAATTTCAAACCATTCAGTTCACCAGGTAATTTAATGCATCATTTTGTATTGAACACCAGTGAAGTAGCGGATTGAATCACATCGGGTTTAAGTTAAAAAAGACACTAGAATTATTGTTCAGATTTAAAAAAAAATGAGTCAAGGTTCAGTGGAGGGAAGGATGTATTTATTTCTAAAATGACTCACAAGTTCTGTACGGCTACAAGACTTAAGGCACAACCAAAAATAGCTCAAGAATATAGTAGAAGAGGGTCCCTACTCAAACTGCTGGTGAAAGAAAAAAAATGAGGTAACATTTAACAAGGTTTTATCCATACCACGATTTTCATAAATCCTGTATTACTATTTGGGTTTCAAAAATAAAAATAAAAGAGTGAATTAAAAAATGTTACATTACCAACATAGAAGTACAAGCTGTGGTCCTCTCCTGATTGATGCAGTTGGTCTAGAAACACTGACATTTAGATGAATAAATACAAATTTGACAACACTTTAATATAAATACTGAATCTAAACGAAAAAGTTTAAATTAAAATAGCAAAAAAAAAAAAGTATAAAAATGTAACAGAGCTTTGTCCTCCAATAGTTATATATACGTTGGACTGTTCCCCAAAAACAAGCATGTCTGAACTCTGTACATTCCTCAAGAATGTTTCCAATTTAAAAAGACTAACTAGGATCCTCATTTGCATGTTGTACGGGTTAATCTGGTTCCATTTGTCTGAAATGCAGAACTTTAATACAATCCTGTGCTCTCCCAGGACCAGTTTAAAACGTTACGGTAGATGACAAAAAAGGTACTATGAACCAACAATCCACATTAGCAAACACTGAATGCCACAAAGCAGCAAGCTGGTAATATTCAGTATAATGCTGGTGACCTGCTCTGATGTGGAGTGTTTACTGGCCTAAAATCTGGTGCCACAGTATAAATTTAATCTATTTTTTTTAATGCAAGTTTGAGAACATCCTGACATATCTGCTAACATACAAGGCAGTGATTGGCCTAAAACTGGCTGAATCTGAACTGGAAAGCAGGTCTGAAAGCAGTCCTTTGCAACCACATTTGAAGTGCGATACAAAAAGCATACACTACAACATCAAACGCATGTCCAGGAGTCCTACAAGGGAAGCTCTGTCATGTCTATTGTTCTAGTATCTTCACAGAGGATTCAGGTTCTACAACCACACCATTTGGTTCGGTCACATTTTTGGAAGCGTTTTCCAGCTCTATCGAGCCCACCCCTATGCTTTCAGGCTCTTCAACCTTTTTAATCATCAGATTTTGTCGTTGCTTCCTGTTCGATGGCTTGCTTCTTCCCATTTTCACCACCTCCGTTGTCTTGGTCGTTCTTTGGTGCTTTGTTGAGCTCCTCCATCTCCGTGTCGATAACGGCCATCTCCATCTTGGCTGGAGGGTCAGGCTGTTCAGGCTTCCTTTTGATGAAGAGCATGTTACAGATTGCGAGCACAAGGGCCGAGAGGACCACCTCACACCCAGCCAGCAGGAAGACAAACATGTAGTTCTTTGTGGCATCCAGAAGGCGACCTGTGAAATGAAACAAGAGAACTATGAGATAAACGTCCCACATGGATCGGCCAGTTGTGGTGGCGGTCCTCACAGGTCACCAGGGCAAACATATCAGTGACGTATGAGCTGCAACTGTTATTGTTGGGACAACTATAACAGTCCATTTGTTCAGTGTTTGGGGGACAATACAAATAGAAGGCCCTTACAACGCAAAACAAAAGGTTCTTGTAAGATACTTAAAAGGCCACCTGCATTCCAATAATATATTTTTGTTCGTTTTTGACCATTTGCAAAGAGAATGTGGTTTTCTTTGGTAGGTAATCTGCAAGTTTGGGAGGTGATACTTTGGTCATGTAAATGTTTTATAAGATCACTGCTTATCTTGTGACTTCTCTTTAACAGCACAGAAACTACAGAACATAGAAAATTAACTGCAGCACTGACCTGCTCCAGGTGGTCCCACCAACACAGCAAAGGCTTCAACCAACAGCACCAAGCCGATGGCACTGGAGAACTTCTCTGTCCCCACAATGGCCATCAACACTTCAAACTGTAAGGCTCCAACCATGCCATAGGAGATACCAAAGAATACGCAGAACACCACAAGAGATGGATAGTCTTTGGCCATGGAGCCGATAATATCAGTGATGCCATTGAAGATCATAGCGAAACTGAAGAGGTAAACACATCGTGGCCGAACCCACTTGAGCCCAGCGATGATACCGCATGTTGGCCTGGCGAAGATATCAATGAACCCTAGTATGGTGAGCAGCAAGGCAGACTTTGTGTCCTCATTGCCCAGTTCCTTGGCATAGCTTACCACAAACACTGGAGGCACAAAAAGACCTAACACCATGATGGCCGCAGCCACCGTGTAAATCAAAAAGCCACGATCTCTAAAGACAGTAAAGTCAAGAAGCTTGGGCTTTGGTTTAGGTTTGGTTTCCTTCTCATCCACCTCGCTTGTTTTTTTCAGTGCCATCAAGGGTCTCATGAGGGCCCCACATGCACAGCAATTCAGTAGAATCCCTCCAAGGATGAGGAAGCCTCCACGCCAACCATACTTGTATTGAAGAACCTGACCAAGAGGAGACAAACAGCACAGAGCCACGGGACTTCCAGCTGCAGCCAACCCATTGGCCAAGGGCCTTTTCTCACTGAAATATCTGTTCAGCATGATGAGGGATGGCTGAAAGTTCAGAGCAAGACCCAAACCTGGAGTACATCATATTTGAAGATGTTAATACATTCAAATTAAGTACATCAGAATTTCATAAGCAAATCACAAAACATTACTCACCTGTTATGACTCCTGTGCTGAGATAGATGTGGATGATGTTGGTTGCAAAGGATGCTAAAATCATGCCCAGCGAGGCAAAAAGGCCCCCGACCATCATCACAGGGCGACACCCAAACCGGTTCACTAGGATGCTGCATATAGGCCCTGCAACAAGCAAACTACTATTAGCATGCAAAATCATAATTTCCAAGAAAGAATAGGACGAGAATAATTTTGTCCTTCCAAAATGTCAGTGTCCCACAGACCACCTAGAACCCACTTGTGGACCCGCCGTTTGAAAGCCCACTTAGCTACAAAATATTCTCATCCATCCCTGCTGCCAGTGGACATCTGTACCTGAGCCATAAAGCATTGCAAGAAGTATGGAGGAGATCCAAGCAGTGTCACTGTAGCCCACTCCAAACTCTCGGATAAGTTCTTTGAAGAAGACGCTGACCGCTTTGGGAAAGGCGTAGGAGAAGCCTGTAATGATGAAGCAGCCAAAGAGGACAGCCCAACCCCATCCTCCATCGGGGGCCTTGACCCCACTGTCACCAGTGTCTACAACCGCACCTCCCATGATGCTTTGTCAGATCTCAACTGCAACAAGAAGAGAAGAACCGGTCTCATAAAATGTGTCATTGAATTAAGCTACTGCTTAATTCAACAAGAACATTAGCATAGTGTTTGGTCACAACATGACTATAAAAAAATAAAATACTAATGTTCATGGATAACTAGTGCTCAACAGACAAAACCATGCCTCATGTAGCTTGTTTACTAAATATCCCTGTACAGCAAGATTTGTTCTGTTTGCCTGGCACACAGTAATACTCACCACCAAGTAACAACTTTTAAGAAATCCTGCATCACAAGCAGTTTTTATTTTAGATCAGTTATTTGGCTTCTAACCCAGAGTTCCCCAATCCTGATCCTGGGAAACTGCCAGCTCTGTACGTTCTGTGTCCCTTATTTTACACACCTAATTCAGTTCATGAGCACTCAACTAACGACCTGATGAGTTGAATCATGGGCGACAAATGTGGAAGGAATCCAAAATGTGTAATGTGGGGGTGCTCCAGGACCAGGATTAGCAAACACTTCTGTAACCTACTATGCAATGAGTGAACTGTTGTGCCCTTTCAAATGTCTCTCAACAGGAGGAGCTGCCAGACAGCTGTTGATGGCTACCCAACTTCCTGAAGATATTTGTCTTCTGGCTTGTGAGTTTGTGTTTCCTCATTTCTACCCATTTAGCAAAAAATACATAAATAAAACCACACACGCACCACAACTTTTTGAACAATGTGAAGAGTGAAGACAATGTGGCATTCAGCACATGATGCTATAAAAAGCCATTACAGAATGCTCAGCCTTCCTATATTGACCTTCTTAAAGGGCAAGATTGCTCCATGAATCATTAAACTAAAGAGACTGGTCAATGTATGCTCATACATACTCATTTAAAACAAGCTAATGGACACCTGGTCCACTGTAGACAGTATTTTAATCAATGTGAACTCCAAAACTATTCATCTGGATACCAAGAACAACTAGTGTATGGCATTGTGTACTACATACATATAAATAAACAAAAACAAAACTTTTTTTTTTTATGTAAAGCAGTTAAACCACTAAAACAGCACAAGACAACTTAAGCCATCTTTATAAGTGGTGCGGTCAAATG